GGGGAGGGGAGGAAGAGGAGGTGGGGGGAGGTGGGCATGAGGAGGGGGAGGAGGACGCAGAGAACAGCCAGTATCGATGGGGATGGGAGGGGTGTGGAGCCTGGCTCCCCGGGCTCTGTGGTCGGAGGCACCATTTTCCATGGGCCAATTAGAGAGCGTGGTCAAAAGTCCAGCAGTTTCACTTGTAGGAACTGAGGCTAAGGAAATAATCGGCTAAGAGTGCAAAGACGTACTTCAACCCAGTGACAGGCGTCAGAGACACCGGGACACAGGCAGAGGGAGAGGATCGTGTGAGGACAGACGCAGAGACTGGCGTGATGCAAGGAAGGCCGGGGAACACCTAGAACCATCGGAAACCAGGAAGAGGCAAGGAGGGTCCCCTCCCGGGGCCTCCAGAGGAAGCCTGTCCCTGCCAACACCTTGATTTTGAACTTCTGGCCTCCTGGACTATGAGAGAATATGTTTCTGTGGATTTGAAATAAGTTTATGGGACTGGCACAAAACAGACACATAGTTCAATGGAACAGGATAGAAAGTCCAGAAAGAAACCCATGCACTTATGATCAATTAATCTACAAAAAAGGAGGCAAGGAGGGAGAAGACAGTCTCTTCAACAAGTGGTGCTGGGGACACCGGACAGCTGCCTGTAACAGAAGGACATGAAAACATGCTCTAACACCACGTACAAACATAGACTCAAAATGGATTAAAGACCTAAATGTAAGATCAGATACTACAAAACTCCTAGAGCAAAACAGGCAGAACACTCTTTGACATAAATTTCAGCAATATTTTTTTGAACCAGCTCCTGGAGTAATGGAAATAAAAGCAAAGATAAACAAACGGGATCTAATTAAACTTAAAAGCTTTTGTACAGCTAAGGAAACCACCAACAAAATGAAAAGACAACCTACAGAATGGGAGGAAATATTTGCAGATGCTGCAACCAACAAGGAGCTAATTTTCAAAGTGTACAAACACTTCATACACCTTAATATCAAAAAAACAAACAACCCCATCAAAAAAAAAGATGGGCAGAAGACCTAAATAGACATCTCTCTGAAGAAGATATTCAGATGGCCGACAAGCACCTGAAAAGATGCTAAACATCGTTTACTGTTAGAGAAATGCAAATCAGAACTACAATGAGCTATCACCTCACACCAGCCAGAATGGCCATCATTAAAACATCCACAAACAATAAATGCTGGAGAGGGTGTGGAGAAAAGGGAGCCCTCCTACACTGCTGGTGGGAATGTAAATTGGTGCAGCCACTGTGGAAAACAGTATGGAGGTTCCTTTAAAAACTAAAAATAGACTTACCATATGATCCAGCAATCCCACTCCTGGGCATGTATCTGGAGAAAAGTATAATTCAAAAATATACACATACCCCAATGTTCACAGCAGCACCATTTACAACAACCAAGACATGGAAACATGTCCATCAACAGATGACTGGATAAAGAAGACATGGTACAGCTATACAATGGAACACTTACTCAGCCATAAAAAAGAATAAAATGATGCCATTTGCAGCAACATGGATGGACCTGGAGATCATCATTCTAAGTGAAGTAACCCAGAAAGAGAAAGAAAAATACCATATGATAGTGCTTATATGTGGAATCTAAAAAAAAGGGACACAAATGAACTCATCTACAAAACAGAAACAGACTCACAGACATAGAGAACAAACTTAAGGTTACCAGGGAGTAAAGGGGGTGGGAAGGGATAAATTGGGAATCTGAAAACTTCCCCCCTTGGGGAGTGATGGAAATGTTAGCTATCTTGGCAGTGGTGGTGGTTTCATGGGTGGGTACACATCTATCAGAATTCATCGAATTGTACACCTGAAATTAGTGTAGTTTACTGTACAGGAATCAGACCACAATAAAGGTGTTTAAATAAATAAATTTGTTTATTTAAGTAAAATAAGCTTGTGGTGGCTCATTGCACGGCCACAGGAAGCGGACAGGTGGATGCAGTGGCGAGGAGTCCCAGTCCATGGGCGCACGGCCCCTTGCTGAGGTCACAGAGCAGAGTCCGCAGCCCTGGACTCACACGCAGGCCTTTCTTGGCTTTATGGCCCAAGCGTCACTGCCAGGCCACCACGTGAGGGGGTTTCTCCTGCTCTGTCTCCCCACTGTCGTCCCTTAAACTCCAGGGACACTGCACAGCTTGGGGGCAAGATGGGAGGTGCAGCCTTGGCGTTACGGCTAAGTGTTGACCTGACGTTTTCATTCTCTTCTCAAGATTTCACTCAGGCACGTCTGCAGGGCTCGACGGAACACCGGAAACTCAGGGCTCGGAAGGCCCCTCCGTCTGACATGCGATCGCAGTCAAGTTCATCACGTGCAAAGGGAGGGCCGCGCGTCCACGAGTAACCAGGCAGCACCCGGCTCCCGGGCTGGGCCTTGGCTGGCAGGTGGAACCGCGGGATGGGAGGGGACACCCCGGCAGCCAGAGGCCACACACCTCCAGCCACTGACCAGCCACGTGGCTGGAAAACAGCAGTAGAAATAACAGCAGCGGATGCTCATGACCTCTGACCTGCTCATGACCTCTGACCTGCTCATGATGGCTGACCCGGAACCAGGCCTGCCAAGTGCTCCGAGGCACCTCCGAGGTGGGGGACCCTGTCCCCGTCTCAGAGGTGGGGGGGCCCTATCCACATCTCAAGAGGTGGGTGGGACCTGTCCGCGTCTCAGAGGTGGGGGGGCCCTGTCCACGTCTCAGAGGTGGGGGGGACCTGTCGGGTCTCAGAGGTCGGGGTGGACCCTGTCCGCGTCTCAGAGGTGGGAGACAAAGGCACATGGAGTTTGAGCCGCCCGCGTGCCCTGGCACACAGCTGGAACATGCCCCGGTGCCAACTTGAAGAGAGGACTTGATCCCGAAGCTACACGCTCAGCTCCCACCCCACAGAACAATCAGTGACCCATCTCCTTTCTGTAGGAGTGATGGTCTCCACTCCAGCGTTCAGTTTAAGTCTCTCACACTTACCGACCACCAGAGCAGCACAGGGACCAAACATGCAGGAGACCGTTGCCTGTGACGGATGGAGGCTCGGGGGCAGTCGTTGGCCTGGAGCCAGGCACTGGGTCCCGCGGTGGCACCCTGCCCAGGACAGGGCTTTGGGAGAAGTCAGCCATCTTTGGAGAGGTGGGATCCATTTGAAATCGCCTGTCCCTTTCCCCTCATCTGTTACCTTTTCGAAGGGGTTTTGGGTTGGAATCATGGCTGGTGTCTACAAGATTCATTCGTGGCTTTCCTGGGGCAGTTTTGAAAATACAGAGCAGGAGAGAATTTAGGAACCAGATGGTTCTCATAAAACAAAATAATGAATTCATCCCAAGTATGAGATATTGATTTAGCATCACCTAAGAAGTCATCCTACCTCTCTGCGAAGAACATGTTTTCAGTTCTAAAATCTTCTAATGGATACGTCAATTTTAACTGATTTTCCCCCGTTAGGTCTAAATCTTTCCTTTGGATCGTGCCACGCGGCTGCCATGAGCGCTGATAACATGACAGATGGGGTTAGGTTACGCATTTCCATTTTCCAAATGAGCCTTTCCACCGAGGCTGCAGCTGGCCTGCCTCTCTCGGGGCAGGTGAGTCCGAAGGCTCAGGCAGCAACCAGGGTGGGGTCCTAAGTGTGGGACGTGGCTCCTTCACGGAAGCTGAGACGGGGCTGGGCCCCCCTCCCAAGCAGCGTCTAGACCAGGCTCATGCCTTGCAACCCGTCACCATATTTAATTGTCTGATGACAAGGCCGGTGTTACTATTTTGCAGATGAGGACGTGGCAGCCCGGAGAAGAAATGCCTGGGCCGCAGCCCTGCAGCTGCTTTTCCCGTGACCAGGACCGCAGCGGCCGCACGTGCTCACACGAGGCTTGCTCTGCGCAGGCGCTGTTCCAAGTGCTTCTCCGTGATTAACCCCCTTGATCCTCACAGCAGGTCGTTGTGGGTTCTCCGAGGTTTACAGACGAGGAAACTGAGGCCTGGAGGGCTCCTGATATTCTCCCAGGGCCATGCAGCCGGGAAGCAGGTCCCCGGGCCCAGCCTTCAGTATGAGACGCAGACTGGACCCTTTCCCGTTGGAGGGTTGTCTACCAGCCCCTCCTGCCCCCCCCCGCCCCTCCCACGGGGCAGGTCACGCTGCCGGGCCGGGGAGGCCCCTTCGCGCCGCACACAGAGCCCTCCGGGGCCGGCGGCTGCCCCTCGGAAGGTGGGGCCTCTCCTGCCGTGTGGCTGGGCCCTGTGCCGGCTTTGGCCTCCGTGGGCCACAGCCGGGGGCCGGGCGGGGAGGGCCGGTCTGTGCGGCCCCCGGGCAGGCTCAGCCGCAGCTCCCGGCAGTCCTTGGTGTCCTTCATCACGTGTGCCACGTGTTGGATTGTTTCTTTATTGATTTTGCTGCCTCGCTTTGCAAGGTTTTCCCCAGGACTTTACCATAATAATGTGTTCTAGTCAGGCCGATGATGTCTCCCTTAAGAGGTATTAATATCGGAATAAATTGTTCTTAAGGTGCATCTACTTATGAAATAAACCATAACAAGCACACTGCCGCGTTCCACGGAGCACAGCACACACGGTGATACACAGAAAGCTGTCGGGTGTTCATAACTTTGTTTCAACTTCCTGAATCAGTCTGCCAGGGACGGGATGCCTTTCTGGAACAATCTCTGCTAAAGAGGAAGATCACCCCAGGCTTGCTCTGAACGAGGTGGGGTGTTTGGCGGGAGCCGCCTGGGCGGTCAGCTGGGGTGGAGGTGGCCGTTCTGCACAGGGGAAGGCACAAAGAGCAACGCCTTCCGGATCTTCGTCCCTCTCTGGCCCGTCTGGAGAGGTCACTGCCTGAACCCCGAACCCACTGCTTCAGGAGGACATCACTGTGTTGGAAGCTCTTTGCTCTAATGGTAGGTGTCAAATGCATCACCATATCTAAATATTCAGCTCATTAAGTATTAAACATCTGTTCTAAATAGCACTGTGAAATGCAAATGACAGCAGCTGTGTTATATCTTAATACAAAATTCATGAAATCCGTAGCCCCAACTTTCCAACCTCATTATAAAGCTGTGTGCTCACCGCTCGCCACCAAAGATGTGTCTGAGCTCAGCAGCCTCTTCTGGAAGCCACAGCATCCAGGCGGCGGGCACTAGAGAAGGATGCCGGGGATGGGGTGGGAGGCCGCCGCCGTCGTGGGGAGACCTGCGGACGAAGCCTTGCCTGTTGTATGCATCCTCGCCCCACCCCACCCCCCGCAGCGAAACTACTGACTTAGTTCAAAGAACTCTCAGGTTTTGTCACCAAAGTAAACCCACACGGGTCCATGCCTGAGACCACGATGGCTCCCATGGTCCGGGGTGGGGCAGGGCGGACCACTGCCCATGGGGTCAGTGCCCTGCAGGGTCCACTAGCCCTGTGCAGAGAAGACTGGCAGGTAGCAGGGCCCCCCACTATCCCGGGGCAGCGGGAGACGAGCTCCAGGGGACAATCAAAGCAAAGAGGACACAGGGGCTGGCCAGTCTCGGAGCCGTCCATTCTGCGGCACAGACACTCAGAACCAACCCCATGGGAACTCCGCTAACCCCAGGGCGCGCCGGTGGGAGCTGGGCACGCAAGACACCTGACCAGATCGTTAGTTACCTAGTTGTTTAGTTAACTAACCCATTAGGTGTTCTCTCCTCCCTCTGCACAGCACTGCTTCCGCCTGGGCGTCTCTCTGGAAACGACCTCATCCTCACCGGTGCCTTCAGTCCAGCGATGCGGCACTCACCCCCGGGCCTGGCAGAAGGCTCCAGAACCTGCCACTGCACTTTGGGTTTCCTCCTGTCCCTGTCCGCTGCCAGCCCATGCCCTGAGCGTGGGAGAGGCTCCACAAGGGTTCCTGAACTGTTGAAAGAACAAATGAACAGAATGTGTGCCCTGTGGGATAATTCCCAAGCTTGCGCCCCGCAAGGCCCCCTCCCACCTCCAGCGTTAACCACCAACAGCCCTGCTTGTCACCCTGCCGCCACAACCCACAATAGGAAGCACATTTTACGCTGGACCAATATTCACATCTTTACGAGGATTTATCCTCACGTGTTGTCTGTTCTAAGATGCACTTGTTCACCTTGTAGCATCTCTGAAATGCACTCAGTCTTACAACCAAAGGCACCGCCTTGCAGGCAGCACTGCCTGCACCCGCCTCAGCTCACTTGAGTTGTCCATCTTTTCAGTACCACGTGAGTTAAATTTCATTTTTGTTAAAATGTCTTCATAGAGAGTCACTACATTCAGCACTGAAATGAAAGGACTGAGTATGCAGAGAGGTACCAAAGCAGGGCGGCCGATTCCAAGTAGATGCTGGGCACAGAATTCAATGTGAGGGAAGCAAACACTCATCATGAGGAGAGTGACTGGGAGGCCACCTGGTCTTTGCAAAACTACTTCCAAGTGCTTTGTGAACCTTAAGGAGGGACAATGCCCACACGTAGATGAGGTTGGGTTGTGTCTGGCGCCCAAGACACATGCAAAGGGCCTAACGATTCCACATTTGGCAGCGCAGCCCCAGGAGAGGAAATGGCCAGGGGCTTGGAAGGAGGAACTCAAAGCACCAGGAAGCTGCTAGGACTGATCCTGGCGTTTCAGATGCCTGTCATTCAATGCCTTTTATTGTGATTTAATGGGTTGTGTGTTTTCTCTCTTAGTTGTTCAAAAAATCATAGTACAGTGGGCCCTTCGAAGCCAAGGGTTTCACATCCATGGATTTGACCATCAGCAAATGGAATTCTTCTCCATTTTATATGAGGGCCATGAGCATCCTTGAATCTTGGTGCCCACGGGTCTCCTGGAACCACTCCCCAGCAGACACCCGGGGACACCTGTACATCGTACAACTTCTAGCACTCAGATGGATGAAATAAAAAATGCATAACTTAAAAAGGTTTAGGAAACCCACACTCATTTTAGTGTGAAATTCACTGTGAGTGTTTTCTATCTTATTCTACTTCATTTTTCAAAAATTCTGGCTGTGACCTGCTAAACTGATTCCCTGGCCCATTAACGAGCTGTGATCCGTAATTTGCGAAGATGCTGCTGACAGCCACTCCCCCTGCCGCACACAGGAAGCCCCACCAAGAGGTGGGAGAGAGGCATGGAGTCTAGACCAGCGCCGTCTGGTAAGAACGCAACGGGGGCCACAGGCACAGTTGGACATTTTCCGGTAGCCACACGAAATGTGCAAAAAGAAGCAGGTGGAATTAATTCTGATACTACAGGTCATTTAACTCAACATATTAAAAAATACCACCTTAACATGCAAACAATATGCACAAACTCTTCATGAGCTGTTTTACACCCTTTTCTTCATGCTAAGTCTCTGAAAGCCGGTAGGTAATTTACACTCACAGCTCATCAGAATCCACACTAGACAAGTTTCAGATGTCACCATGCTGGACAGCACCGCTCCAGAGCTGGGGTCGGCAAGCCTTTGGTGCAAAGGGCCAGGTAATAAATATTTTAGGCTCAGCCAGCCGATGGTCTTTGGCACAGCCACTCACCTCTGCCATTGTGTGAAAGCAGACAGAGGTGACACTTAGGTGTCTGTGGTTGTGTTCCAATAGCTACTCATTTACAAGAACAGGCAGCATGGGGGTGGGGTGGGGGTGGGGGTGGGGGGAGGGTATATATAGCTCAGTGGTAGAGCACGTGCTTAGCATGCAAAAGGTCCTGGGTTCAATCCCCAGTACCTCCATTAAAAGACAAATACATAAATAAACCTAATTACACATACACCCCACCCCGCCCCCAAAAAAGAACACTCAGCAGAACAGATTTCACTAGAGGGCCAGAGTCTGCCAAACCCTGATGCGGGTCATTGCACGCCTGAAGCCAGCAATGTCTCCAGACTCTCCAGGACAAGCCTCTTTTACCATTTGCTGCAGCGGTCATCAGAAAGTCCTGATTAAGATCTACCATCTCAAGCTCTGGCCCTGCTGAGGGCCACTGGGCAGCCTTCAGAGGTCCCCCGGGCCAGTCTTCCGGCTGTCTTGTTCATATCCCCGCCGTGCTGCCCACCACCCTCACCGTCCACTGTTCCTCCTGACAGCTCGGCATCCACCCCTCCTCCCTCCCACCCTCTGCCCTCTCCCTGCCTCTTCTCGGAGGAGTTGGCTGGGTTCTCCTGCATTTGTAAAGCACGCGGGCATGTGAAGCTGACTTCCACGAAAGCCGGCATTGTCTCTTATGGACTTGGAATCCCCAGCCAGGGATTAGGGAAAACTGCCGGGCAGGTTCAGGGCAAGCTGGCCAGACAGGCGGGGAAGGTCCCCCCAGTGCAGGGGTTTTCAGGGTCTACAGAAAAGCGTCCACTCCGTCCCTGGTCACTGCCTCCTGGAGGCCCTGGAGAAGCTGGTGGACCCAGCACGGCAGCGTCTCTCCCAGCTCAGCCTTAGCCAAATGGCTCCAACGTCTGATTTTTAGCTCCAGACTAGGTCCTGCCCAGCCCTGCACAGAAAATGATTCCAAATGACAAACACTAGCCTGGTGGCTTCCGAATGCCACCCTGGAGCCAAGTGACCCCCATGTCATGGTGGTGGGGAGCAGACCTCCCCGGGTTTGCTGGGTTTATCCTTCACCTTTCCATGGGCAATTCCTTGCGCCCAGCTGGCCTCCAATGATGGGAGGGAAGGGAGACCTGGCCAATGAGTCGCTGCCCTGAGGTTTTTGGACCTGCAGCTCTGTTGGCTGAGGCAGACCCACCTGGGGGCTGTTGGCAGCACGTGGAGGAGGCCAGTCTGCAGTGAGAGTGGAGGAAGCCAACAGCCGAGTCGCCAAGTGAAGTGCGTGGGGAGGCAGCCGGAGGGTTGCCCCCGGATCCCTCGTCCAGGCCTGGCTCACTCTTGCTCTTCTAGTGGCTGGTGGCTCTTAGAGATGTCTCCAGATTCTTTCAATAAGCCTCCTTCTGCTTCCAGCTCCCCTTTGTTTTGCCCACTTGCAAATAAATGAATCCTCTTAAGCCCCATCAAGTCGATGCGCTCTAACTCGAGTGGTGGGAGGTCCCAGTGAAAGCAGTGAGGCAGGAAGGGGCCAGGGCCAGTCCCGGGGCTGCAGCCTGGCTGAGGCCAGAAGCACTGAGCCTCCCTTTGCACCCATGGTCCCGTGGTCCTGGGCTTGGTTTAGCTGTGCCTTCCTCACCCAGAGGAGAGGCAGCTGCTTGTCTTCCATCTCCGGAGCGGCCTGCTCTGCCTGCTCTCCTCCGGGCATCCAAGGAAGACGGCCGGCTGCAGGCAGCAGGTGGCTTGCTGACTCACAGAAGAAGCGGGGTGTCTGGGAGTTGGAGGGCTGGGCCAGCTGGATCTCTGCACCGAGACCATTAACGTGCAGAGAAATCCCCTCCCGAGCCCTTTCTTCAGAAAACACATGTGATTTTGTTAATATCACATGCTTCTTTGGGGTGTCACCAGGCTGAACTGGGGGGTGAATGATAAAGTCACTCCAAGCTGGGGCCAAGGGCACTGCTCTTTACAGCAAACTTCCTGTACAGGCTGAATGCTGTCCCCTCCAAATGCACGTCCCCACCCACATGCCCCTGCAGAGTATCTCCCTCTGTCGGCGGTTTCAACGAATGTTCATGGAGATTTTCCTCACTCTTTTGAAATGCATTTGGAAACGGTTGTGTTGCTGAGGCTGGGGGTTCCAAAGGCTCCCAATTACTGGAAGGTTCTCCCTAATTTGAAATGTTTTCCCCTCTAGCTCCCAAGAATTCATGCAAACGTTCCCAGTGTTCAGGTTTGGATCAGAGCTCCAGCGCCAACTGGTGCGGCGGGAGGAAGAGCGGGTAATTTAGGCTTTCCGTTAAGGTGATGAAAACCTCTCCGTGCACACTGAGATACACAAAAGGAGCAGGGGCTCGGCAGTCAGCAGCTGAAACCACCTCCTTGCGGGGCTCCAGTGAGAAACAGGCCTGTCCACCCCACGGATGCACGGAGAAGGCCAGGCAGTGACATGCACAGCGGGTGACCACACGGAGCCAGGACTGGGCGCCTGAGGTCCACTGGGCTTCTCTCCTCCTCCAGCCGTGCTCCTGGGTGGAGAGAACCTGCCTGGGGACTTCCCCACATCTGTTGTTCATTGGCCATAGAGGAGGTCCTACGAAGCCCCAGACCACTGAGGATGAACAGTGTTCATGACCAGGACTCCAGCTCTAGTGGTCCAGGGCTCAGCGCTCGGAGCCAACTGGACAGAGGGAGGCAGGGGGCTGGTTGTGGTGGGAGGACATTGGCCGACCACATAGGCTGCGCCTCAGAACAGCAGGAGATTGGTGACACCCAGTGTCCTAACGCCTCACAGGACTGAGGGGTACTGAGTGAGGGGATGTCTACATACTCTCCACCAAGCTTACAGCCTTGAGAATTAAGAGATCAAAGAAGAATGGTGTCTCACTCCTGGGCACGTGTTGGGAGAAAACTAATATGAAAAGACACATGCAGCCCAATGTTCACAGCATCACTATTTATAACAGCCAAGACATGGAAGCAACCTACATGTCCATCGACAGGTGACTGGATAAAGATGTGATAGATGTATACAGTGGAATACTACTCAGCCACAAAGAGGAATGAAATAATGACATTGCAGCAACATGGATGAACCTAGAGACGATACTAAGTGAAATCAAAGACAAATATCATATGATATCACTTATATGAAGAATCTAAAAAATGATACAAATGAATTTATTTACAAATCAGAAAGAAACTCACAGACATAAAAAACAAACTTACGGTTACCAAAGGGGAAAGAGGGGGAGGGATAAATTAGGAGTTCGGGATTTGCAGATACAAAGCACTATATATAAAACAGATAAACAAGCTCCTATGGAACAGCACAGGGAACTATATTCAATA